GTATAAATGACATATTTCTTGGGTCTGAATGTGAAGAGTACCTTAATGATCTTATGATGGTCATGCAGATACAGTAACAACCGTTCGACAGAACTGTTTACAATTTTATGAAACTGCTGCGGATCAAATTCGTAACAGATTGCCTATTAAAGACGAGTTTTTAGAGAAATTAAAAGTTTTTGGACCATCTGCAGCTCTATTCGATGAAAATAGAGAAAGATCATGTATCTTTCGTTGCGAAAACTCTAAGTGGCTTCGACGAAGAATTTTTAAAAAAAGAGTGGCTTCAATTGCCACAAGATTTTAATATTGAAGAAAAATATAACATATCTAAATTAAATTTCGATGATATGATGTGGAAAGAAATACTGCAGCGACAATTTTCAAGTAATTCTCACAAGTATCCCAATTTGAGAAATATTCTGAGCGCTGTTCGAACACTTCCAAATTCTAATGCAGACCCGGAGAGAATGTTTTCGATTTTAACTGATTTAAAATCAAAGAAACGCAATATATTGTCTTCGGCCAGTGTCAATGCCACTTGCGTACTTAAATCTGCGTTGAGGACGAGAGATGAAACAGCTGCAAATATGACAATAACTTAACAACACGTATCTCGTAAGCAATTCGACAAATTATATGCATTTTGCCCTAATAAAAACGAAAATGTTTGAAAAGTTATTGCTGCTGGCAAAAATGTTAATGCTGCTCGTCCCTCTTCTAAAATCCTATAAATGTCCTAATAATGTCCAAAAGAAAAAAAATTATATACAAAAAATATTGGCGTGTAAAAAAAATTAATTATTTTTTTTCAATATGCAGTAAACATTGTTAATTTTTGTTTTGGACATTATTACATTTCTTTTTGAACATTATTATTATTATTACATTACATTACTGAACAAAGTGTACTAATAGTTGAACTTTTTATATTTCTATTTTTCAAAATACATACACACGCAGATAGAGAGGATTTGGAGTCGAAAAATACTGTGGAAGTGACGAACCACGGGGTCCTGATCTCTATTTGCGACACACACGTACACACATATATACACGTAGCTAACACACATAGATAGAGAGGGTTTGGAGTCAAAAAATACTGTGGAAGTGACGAACCACGGGGTCCTGATCTCTATTTGCGACACATACACACATACACACACATCTTCTGAAAATATTTAGCTGTTTTGAAAATATTAGTACACTCTGTTTATTTTTAACAATAAGAGTATAATATATCAGATCATCCTTAAAATAGTGTGGTTTTTTGAAAGTATTTATTACTGTTAAATATTAATATTTTGCACAGGTACGTTTATTTTTAACGGAATATTTTTTATATTTCTTATCTCATCTTCTTATTATCTCAGATAAAATGTTGTTTCGATTGAAGCGTTTAATGCGTCGTCATTAAATTTTATGTATCGATCTGATCTTTACAAGGAAGATCATAGGAAAAATGAGAAACATCACGCCGGAAATTGAAAAAGTACACTTTATGACATGTAAAATATGTTTATGATATATTTCACAAATATTTGCAAGTGTATGTAAAATTGCCCTTTTAGAATTCATATAATATGCAATACTGGAAATGATTTTCAGTGACGTTCTTTTCAAACTTATTAGTATGAATATAAATGCTGCAAACGCTCCATGTAACGTACAGAGACAATTCTGTTTTACAGACATAAGTTAGTTATATCGTCATCTAAAGAAGAAACGTATGTTTGTGAAGTAGCATATAAAAAATGACGTTGCTTGTGGAAGACCTGATATACTATGATGGATATGCAAATGTTTCCTGAAAAATATATTTAAATATTTATGGAAAATATATACGAAACGATGTCACGAAGTACAATTTTTCCGATATATTAAAAAGTGTACCTGTAAATGTGAAGAAATTATTATCTGCACTCAAAAAATAGTGCTATTATTAAGTTTTTTTCTTTACTTATCTTTATGTTATGATTATCATATAAAAAATA